CAAGATATTATCACAGACCTCTGTAATAGTTCATAATAGGGAACGTCCATTTGTTTTTGTATATTATTAGTATTAAATATAGTTCCACCAGCCAACAGCAAAAATGGCTTTGAGTATTGTAATAAAACCTGGGGAATATTACTAAACGCATCATTATACATTGTGTAGGGGTAGTTGTTAAGTTTATTTGACTACCACACACCCAATGTGTTTTAATGTAGTTTTTATTGATCATCTACTACATGCATACGTATATAGTTGCACGAAGGCCGTAGATGTGATTTCATGTTTATATGGCAGGCATGACACATGTACCATAGCGATTATTAATTTATTGTTGTTTGTTTGTTTGCAATTAAGCACAAAGCTACACAATGAGCTATCTGTGCTCTGCCCACCACGGGTATCGAAACCCGGATTCTAGCGTTGTAAGTCCGCAGACATACCGCTGTGCCACTGGGGAGCTTTTTTATTGTTGCAACTGCATTGAGGTCGCGTTTCATTTGTTTATGTATATGGTTCCTGCCCTTTCGGACACGACGCTATTGACAGGATGACAGTTTTTCTACCATGCATGATTGATTTCGGCCACGTTACACAAGCATCTAAAATGTTATACAAATGTCTAGGCTGTCTCCCACAACATAAATCTTTAAGCCGTAGTTTAAAATATAGCACCAAACTCAGTTTCGAGCATTGGATCGGCAATCACGGTGATGGCTGATGGTAAGTGTCGAATGATAACCAATACTACGTGCTTGAAAATTTCATAAGCTGATTATAAGGAGTGAAAAGAAGCTATTTATTTTATGTAGAAAGTGTTTAGTTTCAGATCAAATGTGCAGCAGCGACGGCCCACCAGAAGTGTCACAAGTATATAAATATAATTAACAATTAATACGTTTTCAACCTTCTACAATGTGTAGAATGTCACTCTAAGAAGAAATGTTGCCAGTTGCAGCAAAACCATGATCGGCCTTACTATGTATACATGTTTAAAACGCATGCGGTTACAAAATCCAGTCCATGCACAATTCCAGTATAGTTCAGTAGTCCGTCCAATCCTATGTTTACAGACTCCCCCATATAGCCACAGAGTATAAATATTGTAGATATATATTACAAGCAAATACATAACATGTCTTATGTTGATCACCATATATCGTAGTGATCATACATACAGTACCACTATCAATGATAACATTGTAACAATGATATAGGGACCAATAGCCATCCAATCTGCTTCAAGCCAATCCAATGTTTTTCGTTGTTTCCCGAGAGAGCATCATACATCAACTATGTATTTCATTAAACTAAACTGTTTCAAATAGGACAGTATTGCTGTTATACCGATTTATGTCCATGGTGGACATAAAAAAACAACAACTAAAGAAACAAGGTTATTAAAAATTGTTAATTAAAAAAGGGAGAATAGGAATCTTAAAAAAAAATACAGAAACAAGTGAAAGTGAAAATGCAATCATCAAAAAGTAAACAAAGAAACTTAAAGTTTGAGACATACTGACACAGTTTCCTCAAGCCACAAATCCCCAATGTGACTATTCAAAATATTATAACTTTTATATCAACACTATGTCTCAAACCTTAAGCTTGTTTGTTTACTTTTTGGTGATTGCATTTTCACTTTAAGCTACCTTTCTTGTTGTTTTTTTAAGATACTTATTCCCCCTCTTTTTAAATTAAAATTTTTAATAATTTTGTTTTATAATGTTGTTTATATGTTATCAACCTCCACACGTGCTTTCTTGTTATGAAACGTTCTCTTCAAACAAGCCGAACAATCCAGGTGAGACAGTGTTTTTAACTATGTTCGGTGGGAAGTCCATTTTAAGATATTTTATATTTGAACACTATTTTGTGCAGTTTAACTGGGTTAGATAGGAACATCTATCTTTACGTGACAATGAGCTGGAAAATCATTACTGGCCTATTTTTCTGACCGGTTTGACAAAGGTGGCCTCACATATTTCTAACCAGTTCTATATTGATATGGTTTAAATGTTAAACATTATAGAAACGAAAGAAACAAATGTTACTGGCTTTACCTCAACTTAGCACTTCATTGACAAATTATCAATAAATCTTATTAGCGCCACTTTACCTCATGTTTATAAGTACAAGTTAGAATATCGCGCCACTCAACTTGCTAAGATAAAAGAATTAGCACAAAGGAAAAATCTAGTACATTTCAAACGACCCAGAAACTCGGAAAGTTCACCATTCTTCTTGTTTGACGTGTTTAGAGTCGGTGGAAGTTCTCGAGACGAAATGATGCAATACTGAATAAAAGCTGCCAGTCAGATTAAGTCCGAGTTATGGAATGACGTAAAAGATATGAGCTTCGCAATAAGGGTGTACTTAAACCCCTCAGGACATTGTATTAGAGTTCGGATTTGATCTAATATGAGATAAAACGAAATGTATCCGTTTTTGTATAAATTATAGTAAGTATCATGTAATTATCTATTCTGGTCTTTGTAGGAACATAGCAAGACCTAGAAATTAATTTTGACCTTTGTAAGTTGGAACGTGAAAAGGTTTGAACTTTTTATTTAGCTCGCGAAAGGTGCAATAGTATTTTTGAAAGTAGGCTGACCTCGCCATACCAGAGGTATTTTTTGTTTTGTTTTTTCAGTGAATTATTGTGGCTTTCACGATAGTATTATGAAATTCCCTGTGAAATATAAAGAGATAAGTGATTCTGACTGATCAGACGCACTTGTTACTTCACTACACCCATTTTGTTAATAAAGAAGTAAGTGATTCTGACTGATCAGACGCACTTGTTACTTCACTACACCCATTTTGTTAATAAAGATGTAAGTGATTCTGACTGATCAGACGCACTTGTTACTTCATTACACCCATTTTGTTAATAAAGAGGTAAGTGATTCTGACTGATCAGACGCACTTGTTACTTCACTACACTCACTTTGTTAATAAAGAGGTAAGTGATTCTAACTGATCAGACGCACTTGTTACTTTACTACACCCATTTTGTTAATAAAGAGGTAAGTGATTCTGACTGATCAGACGCTCTTGTTACTTCATTACACCCATTTTTTAGATAAAGAAGTAAGTGATTCTGACTGATCAGACGCACTTGTTACTTCACTACACCCATTTTTTAAATAAAGAAGTAAGTGATTCTGACTGATCAGACGCACTTGTTACTTCACTACACCCAATTTTTAAATAAAAAGGTAAGTGATTCTGACTGATCATACGCACTTGTTACTTCACTACACCCATTTTTTAAATAAAGAAGTGATTCTGACTAATCAGACGCACTTGTTACTTCACTACACCCATTTTTTAAATAAAGAAGTAAGTGATTCTGACTGATCAGACGCACTTGTTACTTCACTACATCCAGACCAACTTCGTATATTCTGAATCGTTCTTTGAAAGTTTAAAAAATATTATGAGGTTTAACATAAGACTTCGGATAAGTAGCATAATATTACTGATTGGCCTGAGGACTTGTGTACACATTGAATAAGTTACTCTTTTCACGTTAATAATTGTGTTTAAATATTGAAAACTATAGGATTGATCTTATCTGTTGTATGCCTCACGATATTCTCCCCACTACTCGAAGTTCAGATTTCCTTATTTCTGTAGAAACTGTCCAGTTGCAATAATATTTTAAGATATTACTCGTTGTTACACTTTGTCCTACTGTCGGTGTTAACTGTCACCTGTGACACCGTTGTTACACTTTGTCCTACTGTCGGTGTTAACGGTCATATGCTGCACTGGTGTCACACTTTGTCCTACTGTTGGTGTTAACGGTCATCTGCTGCACTGGTGTCACACTTTGTCTTACTATAGATGTTAACAGTCATCTGCTGCACTGGTGTCACACTTTGTCTTACTATAGATGTTAACAGTCATCTGCTGCACTGGTGTCACACTTTGTCTTACTATAGATGTTAAACAGTCATCTGCTGCACTGGTGTCACACTTTGTCCTACTGTTGGTGTTAACGGTCATCTGCTGCACTGGTGTCACACTTTGTCTCACTGTTTGTGTTAACGGTCATCTGCTGCACTGGTGTCATACTCTTGGTGTTAACTGTCAGCTTCTATACTGGTGTCACACTTTGTCATACTCTTGGTGTTAACTGTCATCTCCTACACTAGTCCTGAATTTTGTCCCACTGTCGAGATAACTGTCAGCTTCTACAGGCGCTCGATAGAACCATGAACGCAAAACATGTCTCATGGTCTTATAAGTTGTGATAAATAATTATCTGGGTGTGTAAATATATATATATATATATATATATGACCGATTCATCTCAAGTAGAAATAGGAGTTAAGCCTATCTAGCTGGTTTGAACTTGTTCCACTAGGGAACCTCGAATATGAAACAAAAGATTACGATGCACTATGTACTGTAATGGTGTGAATCACCACTGTTCTATGCTGTGATTATTGTAATGGTGTGAATCACCACTGTTCTGTGCTGTGATTATTGTAATGGTGTGAATCACCACTGTTCTATGCTGTGATTATTGTAATGGTGTGAATCACCACTGTTCTATGATGTGACTAGCAGTGGTAAAAGTCCTACATTTGTTAACTTAAAGCCCTGACCTAAATTCAGTTGAAGACGGTTTAGAACGTGGTATTGGATAAAGACTGAGAAACGTTCTCCAGTGAGCTTTAATTACACATTTTTGGTTTATACACAGAGTGACAGGATAAGCTGAAAACTAAACTGAATAACTTCAAATTGGTTTTTTACATCACAATTGAAAGCTTTAGTACACTGTATCAGCTGGAATCGACCCCCAGATTTAGATGTAAGTTCATAAACTTATCGCTGACCTACCGGGGGACAATGAAAAAGGTAGCTGGATTTTATAAGAAACACCAGTGTCAGAGTTACTTGAAAACTGTATATAAAATAATATCTGGATTTTCTAAAAACATCAGAAGTGAGAAGTATTAAAAAGAACTCTTAAAGTGTCGTAAACATACATAATCATTTAATCTCATATATAGTCAATACACAAAACAGGATTTAAAAGCTCTAAAGTAGTAGCTAGCATAAATATTTGAACAAGTTGTGAAAGAAATTACTCAATAATTGTTTCAAAAAGTTGTCTCTTTCGTCTTTTATTTCCTGCTTTAGAAATGCTATAATCTAAAGTTTTATATTTATCCTCCACCCAATTAGTATTTAAAGTTTTATTTTTCATTTCAAATTTATATATATAATAACCTAATATTCTCTGTGTTATATATATACATCCAAGATCGTTTAAAGTTACTTTTTTTGCCACTCCTTCATTCTCAGTTCCTTGCGTCTTATCTTTCCGCTGATAGTTTTTGGCAGTTCTTCTACGAACTCTATCTACAGAGGGTAAAGTAAGTGTAATATGTATGGTTAATAATTTACATTTGACATCTGATAGATTTTAGAAAATTATCATCCACACATCTGTAAGGGTCGTGTTACTTTATTATCATCTTCCACACCTCCACACATCTGTAAGGGTCGTGCTACTTTATTATCCCCATCCACACAGCCACACATCTGTACGGGTCGTGCTACTTTATTATTCCCATCCACACAGCCACACATCTGTAAGGGTCGTGTTACTTTATTATCCCCATCCACACAGCCACACATCTGTACGGGTCGTGTTACTTTATTATCATCATTCACACATCCACACATCTGTAAGGGTCGTGTTACTTTATTATCCCCATCCACACAGCCACACATGTGTACGGGTCGTGTTACTTTATTATCATCATCCACACAGCCACACATCTGTACGGGTCGTGTTACTTTATTATCATAATCCACACAGCCACACATCTGTAAGGGTCGTGTTAATTTATTATTTACGCATCTATACAACATTACATTTGTTTGTTTGTGTGTAAATAAAGTGAGCACATCACGTGTCGGATAACTGATTGAGGTTTGTCGGAAGATAAGCCTGCAGACTACTGGGTAAGAACAATTATATCTTTAACTTTAAAAGGTATTATGATAAGTGGTCATCTAGCAGGATCGTAATTAGCAACGGCCATTTCTTTAGCCGGCTGCTCAAACCATACCAAACATATCTTAAAACCTGTTTCTTGCGTTCCGCTACTGCAAGTTTCTGGAGTTGAACTAAGATCGTGGTGAAAATTTTTGCGTGAGAACTTAGGATGTTTGATTTATTTAGAGAACCGGATAACATTCGTAGTGTATCTGAGTATTTTTGCTTATAATGTCTACACTGATAGACAGTGGCAATGGTACTGTAAATAAACCACCATGATTGAAATTGCTAAAAGCGTGAGAGTGAACTGAGTCGTCTTCTTTGATCAGAACTAAATTCCATTGAGCATCTTGGGAGTAACTTGAACGTCGGAGTCTTCACCAATCTTCTGCGGGATTTGTTAACCAACTGTTGGCCATGTGGTTCAATGAAACAAGACAACACTTAATGAAGCCTGACTGAAGGCCATTATCATGAGGAAAGGTGAGAATTTTCAAGTAATCAGACAAATTACAGTTTAAAAGAAAATACTCTGATCTGGTACCTCATCTACTTGAGTTGCTTTCATAAACTCGTTTTGTTGCTCTGATAATAATAACAAACTTCAGATGATAAGTCTTTTAAATTTTTGAAACATGTAACCACGCCAACTCTTACCTTTCTTGGATATTTGTAAGGGGCAGTGTGAGATTTCACGTGCCCCTGAAGCTCCTGAACCAAGATGTCGTGGTCAGTTTCTCTGTAGTTTTCCTTTAAAACCACAAATGCTTTCACCACCTTTGAACAAGAAACAAACTTTTTTTTCTATTTTTGTATCGTGTTCTCTACTTATTTCTTTGCAATTGACACTTCTGACTGTTATCTTGTATTTTACCTACCATTTAAATGAGTCCTTTAAACAGTATAATAATAAACCCTTCCTACACCTACAGTCTTATGTGAGTCATTTAAACAGTATAATAATAAACCCTCCCTACACCTACAGTCTTAAGTGAGTCCTTTAAACAGTATAATAATAAACCCTTCCTACACCTACAGTCTTAATAATAATCTTAATAATAAATGCTCCCTACACCTACAGTCGTAAGCGAGTCTTTTAAACAATATTATTATAATAATAATAAATGCTCCCTACACCTCCAGTCTTAAGTGAGTCCTTTAAACAATATAATAATAAACCCTCCCTACACCTACAGTCTTAAGCAAGTCTTTTAAACAATATTATTATAATAATAATAAATGCTCCCTACATCTACAGTCGTAAGCGAGTCTTTTAAACAGTATAATAACAATAACCTCTCCTCTCTCTGGATCTGGACTGCTAACAACGGCTGATTCCATTACTGCAAAATGTTCAAGCAAGGCACTCTCCACTTCAAATGGACCGATCCTGTACCTAGAAAAAAAACCACAAATAACGTAATATGGGTGTTCATATATTTAAAAGTAAAGTTTCTCTAGTTAAAACCAACAACACGCAATCACTACTGAAAACCTGTTCTTGTTAAATAGGAGACGAAACTGTACTTGAATTACATAATCAGAAGACTGAGCTGCACTTGAAATATATAATCAGGAAACTGAACTGCACTTGAAATACATAATCAGAAGACTGAGCTGCACTTGAAATACATAATCAGAAGACTGAGCTACACTTGAAATACATAATCAGGAGACTGAGCTGCACTTGAAATGCATAATCAGAAGACTGAGTTGTACTTGAAATACATAATCAGAAGACTGAGCTGCACTTGAAATACATAATCAGAAGACTGAGTTGTACTTGAAATACATAATCAGAAGACTGAGCTGCACTTGAAATACATAATCAGAAGACTGAGTTGTACTTGAAATACATAATCAGAAGACTGAGCTGCACTTGAAATACATAATCAGAAGACTGAGTTGTACTTGGAATACATAATCAGAAGACCGAGTTGTACTTGAAATACATAATCAGAAGACTGAGTTGTACTTGGAATACATAATCAGAAGACTGAGCTGTACTTGAAATACATAATCAGAAGACTGAGCTGCACTTGAAATACATAATCAGGAGACTGAGCTGCACTTGAAATACATAATCAGAAGACTGAGTTGTACTTGAAAAACATAATCAGAAAACTGAGCTGTACTTGACATACATAATCAGGAGACTGAGCTGCACTTGACATACATAAAGACTTGTTGCCTTAAAAGTTAATGAAGCTCAAAATATTTCTCCCCGAGGAAGTCAGATCAAGCTAGGAAATCCTGAAATTTATTAGATATATGACTTTATTTGACCCTATCACGAAATATAACCTTACCGTGAATACATCCGTAAGAAATATCAACCAAACATAAGTGAACAGAACAGCTGAGAAAAGCCATCCAAAATGAGCTGACTCAACTGCTGTTCAACAAGATCCAGATTCGTTTACTGTTAAAAATGTCAGACATAAACTACACATAAATATATCAACAACACCATGATGGAAATAAATAAACAATTTATTTATTTATAAACAAATAATTAAAAATCGTTACCAAATAAAAATTATTTAGAACCACACAATACCAACATATACTTGTACCTCTATATTGTAGTATTTAATAATTCCAATTTGACAGCTATTGTATGGCATGAAATAGCTCTATATTTTGGTATTTAATAATTCCAACTTGACAGCTATTGTATGGCATGAAATAGCTTTATATTTTAGTATTTAATAATCCCAATTTGACAGCTATTGTATGGCATGAAATAGCTCTATATCTTAGTATTTAATAATCCCAATTTGACAACTAATAAATGGCATGAAAGGGAATATTTGTTTGAGTCTTCTTCCGATAAACGGTAACGGTCAACCTTTTCTAAACCCGTGTCTTTGTGAACATCCAAGACTGTTATCGACTTCAAGTTCTATAGAAAATTGATGTTGCCAAATTGGCTGTTTAAATGAGTATGAAAGGTCCCCATAGGTGCATAAAATAAACGTATCGTCAACATATCTTACCCACGTAAGATATGTTTGTAACTAAGCACAAAGTTACACAATGGGCTATCTGTACTCTGCCCACCACGGGTATCGAAACCCGGTTTCTAGCGTTGTTAGCCGCTGTGTCACTGAGGGCGGGGCTCATATAAGAGAATGATGAAGATATGGCGTGTTTAAAATGCTGCATCAATATTACTACAGGTTATAAAGGTGAACCCATTGAAGTACCGTCTAACATATTTGTAAAATCGGCCATTCCGATGGAAGTAAGTCGCATCAAGACAGATGTCTAACAAGTTCATGATACTTGGGATGCTGATGGAAGTTCTTGTTGGAAGTGAGATGTCTTCACTTAATCGTTTGTGTATTATTGTCATGGTATCTTGGTGAAATCACGTAGAGTCTAGCCATAATATCATCTTTGGATATGATTTGGTCAGAAATGTGGTTAACGAATTCTCGTGAGTTTCTAATTGAATAAGCCGGATCTGTTGTTAAAAGTTTTAGCAAACTAGAAATAAATATGTCTGTTTTGTAAGTATAAGAACCTGTGTAAGATAATATAATGGGTCGCATAGGTGTGTTAGGTTTATGTATCTTTGTCACACCATGAAGCTGTAGGAAGACTGAATGGTGTACAGAGAATCTTTCGAACAATGTCATGCTTATTTATTTAGTCTTTTTTTTTCATACGTTGAGTTTGAATCCGAAGATGGTCTTTGGTGAATTACGTCCGTTAACGTTTCTTCTACCTTTTGCTCACGTCGGTTTAAGAGGACTGTGGTATTTCCTTATGAGCAGATAATATAACAGTGTCTTTATCTTTCTTTAAGTTACTGATAGCTTGGTGTTCCTGTCTAGTTAGGTTTAATCGTAGATGATTTTAGGGAAGTTGGAAACACAGTTATGAGATCTAATGTATTAGCGACTTCTTGAGTGGAAACAATGACGTCAGTATAGGGTACTTGTTTCGGGGTTGGAAAAAATTTAGTCCAAAAGATAGCACATTTATTTCATTATCATTAAGATTTTGTCGCTTAAATTTATGATTGTATGCTAATTTATCTCCATTCTCCTGTCATTTAAATAACAATAAAATATTAATTATTTAATATATATTAATTATTAAATATTAATTAATTAAATACGTATGAGTCTTAAAAAAACAGTTAACCAATAAGTATCGTTGAATTGCCCCCCAGCGGCAAAACAGTTAACCAATAAGTATCGTTGAACTGCCCCTCAGCGGCATGTCTTCGGACTTACAACGCTAGAAACCGGATTTCGATACTCGTGGTAGGCAGAACATAGATAGCCACATTGTGTAGCTTTGTGTTTAACTTCAAACAAACAAATCGTTGAACTATCAACAATTTTGATCAACCATGATACAAACAGGAATGATTGGACTGTCACAGTTTCGATCAACCAAGGCAATAAACTTGATGGTAGCAGTGTGAGATTTCGCAACAATCAGACGATCAACCAAGGTAATAAACCTGATGGTAGCAGTGTGAGATTTCGCAACAATCAGACGATCAACCAAGGCAATAAACTTGATGGTAGCAGTGTGTGAGTTCGCAACAATCAGACGATCAACCAAGGCAATAAACTTGATGGTAGCAGTGTGTGAGTTCGCAACAATCAGACGATCAACCAAGGCAATAAACTTGATGGTAGCAGTGTGTGAGTTCGCAACAATCAGACGATCAACCAAGGCAATAAACTTGATGGTAGCAGTGTGTGAGTTCCCAACAATCAGACGATCAACCAAGGCAATAAACTTGATGGTAGCAGTGTGTGAGTTCGCAACAATCAGACGATCAACCAAGGCAATAAACCTGATGGTAGCAGTGTGTGAGTTCGCAACAATCAGACGATCAACCAAGGCAATAAACTTGATGGTAGCAGTGTGTGAGATTTCGCATCAATCAGAGTAAGAAAAGTGAAGTTTATAAACTCATACGTTAATCACGTGTTAGCTGTTACTGTAACACTTTCTCGGGCTTTAATAATTAAGTTTGAACTACAGCTCTAAGTTTTGTTGCATAATATTAATTGTAAGATTAGAGAAAAAAGAGTGAATAAAAACTGCAACGGCCGTGCTTACTTAGATCTATTAATGATTTATTATTAAAATTACCATAGCGTTAACATTAACTATATTATTTTGTAGAACAAGTTGTCCTACCCTGATGAAATAATGATGTCATCAGATCGCCCCACAAACCAAAAATATCCATCTTGGTCTTTGTAACCTCGATCACCGGTATAGAAGTAGTCACCTTTAAACACAGACGCCATTTTGTTAGGATTGTTCTAAATAAAATAGAAAAAAAAACGTTTAAAATTTTTATAAAAATAAATAGACAAAAGAACAACTTCACATGCATTTTCTGTAAAATCACCTACTGTTGAGATTTCGTTTTATATAAACATGTAAGTGGACAAATTAAATTATTTATGGTGAATATTTTTCATTATTTTTTAGCTAATAATATTATGTCAAAAAAAATGTTCACAACTATTTTGGTTGAAATATACACACACAACTAACTGTGGATTATAATCACACAAGCTCAGTTGTTCTAGTCATCCTGTCACATTCACACGTCCCCCAGGGAGACAGCATTAAGTTTAAGGGCTTACAGCGCTACAATTCAAAGTTCGATTCCACTTGGTGGACACTGCACGAAGCCAAATGTGGCTTTGCTCTAAAACAAACGAACACATTCACACATAATGCTACTGTAGCGTGTTTATAATCCAATAGTGACCATACTGTCACATTGATACGTAATGATAGTGGAACGTGTTTATAATCCAGTAGTGACCAACCTGTCCCATTGATATGTAATGCTAATGTATCGTGTTTATAATCCAATAGTGACCAACCTGTCCCATTGATATGTAATGCTAATGT